TAGTGATGTAGTAGTCCGCCAGCGTCGTGACAATACTGATATAAAATTCTGAAAGCCGCCGTTTGCCCAATTAAAAAGATAATTTTCTAAAACTTAAAGAGTAATATCTTTATATTATTCTCATACTTTCCAAAATTTACAAGATTTTTAAAAAAATTTTATAGCTGCTTAGTTTACGAACGTTAATATACTAACAGCTTTCTTAGTATTTTAGCGCTATTTCAGATTGTTCCAAAATTAAAATTTGTCCCAGAATTTATTTTCCCCCTCTTTTATGAAGAGGGGGTTGAAGAAAAGTCCCAGGCCGCACCACAACCCCCAAGTACATGCCCGCTACGCGCCAACATTAACCCCCCCCCCCCGGGTTCGTCCACGACGTCAGAACGTAACGTCCCAGTGGTGACATGGTTTCCACCTCAGTCAGGCACAACACGCCTCTATCACCAACTCCAAGTCCTCATCACCATACGGCACCCTCGCCGTGTGCCACCATCAGCAACCTAGAAACCATCATTCATGTTATTGACTCTTTGAATAGGGCACCATTCAATTGTACCCAAGGTACACCGCAGCATCCGGGAAGCACGACGAGAAACAGTTGATTCGGCCAGGACTCCGACAACCGCCAAGATGCAAACACTCAGGTCCTTCTTCGCGCCGCCCGATCCACAGGCACAGGTTAGCACTACTTCGACGAAATGGAGCGTGTCTTGAAGCAAGGACGCCAATAGCTGATATCCCCCCGTGTTTGCTATCCAGATGCGCAAATGCAACACCCTACTCCGCTCCAACATGCGCAAGATCGATCGCGACATCGCCCAGGTCAAGCAAGTAGAGACCAAGACCAAGAACCTCATATTGGCCGCCGACCGACGAGCACAAAAGAACCCAGCCCAGCGTAAACAGGCCGAGAGGGAAGTACGCGACTTCGCCCGCGAGCTGATCCGCGCCCGCAAGACCACCGCTCGCCTGATCACCAGCAAAGCCCAGCTCAACAGCGTGCAGATGCAGGTCAACGAGGCCTTCGCCCTACGCAAGATCGAGGGCAGCATTCGCGCCAGCGTCAAGATTATGAAGGACGTCAACACGCTCGTGCGCCTACCCGAGCTGGCCGGAACCATGCAGGAGCTCAGCGTTGAGCTGATGAAGGCCGGCATTATCGAGGAGATGGTGGGCGAGCAGCTCCCCATGGATGTTGATCTGGAAGACGAAGAGGACGAAGCCGAGGGCGAAGTCGACAAGGTGCTGGGCGAGATCCTGAAGGATCGCATGGAGAAGACGGGCGGCTTGCCTAGTGTGCCAGAGCCCAGCCAGAAACTGCCACAGCAACCTCAGCACGCCGAGGAGGAGCCCGAGGAAGAGGATACCGAGGCGATGATGGACCAGATGCGGAATCGACTGGAGGCTCTGAGGAGTTAGAGGGAAGAGGAAAGCCAGCCAAGGATGGTGTGCACATAATGCATGATGAATACTAGGGGTGCACACATAGCTGCACTCGGGGTTTTGGCTTCCACTGGGTTAAGGCGGCGTTGGGGCGTTTTTGGTCATGTCACTCATCATGTCCACATGGGTTGGAAAGTACAACAGCGTGCTAAAGTATCGGGGGCTGATTGTCTCTGTTTGGTAGATGTCTTTGTTCTCAACGATGGAACCTGAGCATCAGGTGTATAACAACGGTGCGTTCCTCATCACCCACAGTCTTGGTGCTATCATTTTGGTTGCCGGCGAGGGTAATCACCCCTTTATATCACCCTCGAAATTCGTTGCCAGGTGGGAATTATAAGTGCTTCAAACTGGGATACAATTCAATAAGGTCCGCTGGCTCAATGGCAGAGCGTCTGACTACGAATCAGGAAGGTTCCAGGTTCGACCCCTGGGTGGATCGATTCTTTTTCCTTTTTGCTGCATCCAACATCACGGAGTCGCACATTTCTTTTGCGCTGTTCACATTTCCTTTTTGCCTTCTTTGTATTCGGCTTCATGTCGGTAGCGGGTGCGTCTCGATCGTTCCTACATAGCGGGGAAGGTCATGGGCGTTGGCATCGGGCTGGCGCTTAACATGACTCGAAGCATACGATACACCCTTCCACAAACGGCGTCTATTTCCAGAAAACGCGACCCTGATGTCAACGGACCTTCCCTGCGTGACGGGCTCTTCATCACAGTCAGGTATTTTACCATCGAAGGAATGGTTCAGTCAGTCGCCGGTTTACCGATTTGCATGTGGTCACATTAAAGTCCCTCCGTTTTGCTTTCACCGCCCTCAAAGCCATGTTCCTCATCAAAGACGGAGGGAGGAGTTGGTCTCCCCAACTCGCACGAGACCTGGTCGTAGCGAACAATATTCGATCTTCCAACTGGAAAGTCTAGCCGCCCTCGGAAGCCACGCAGGCACCCACGTACTAGCACACACAAAGAACATATTAAAAGCTCCGGATGGCCCACTCTGATCTGCTGGAGTCCATGTCTCCTCTTTCTGACTTGATTCAAGCTGATTGTTGATAGAACCCTTACGGCTTCTTAAAGTGGGACAGCATACATGCCCTTTACGTTGAATCAAATCCCCTCGAGTCACTTCACGCTCTGCTTTCCACCGGCAGGCAGGCAGGCGCCACACGTCAGTCCCTCCCTCCCTCCCCTTTTCGATTTCTAGTGCATCAAATGTGTCTCGCGGGACCTGGCACCGGACGGCTTTGACCGTTGAGACCTTGCGTTACACACTAGACGAAGACAGAGACTGGAGCTCTTGTTTCTGATTAGAGAATGTCTCTCGTATTTTCAGACACTGATCGCCATGGGGCGTATGACTTGATTCAGATGAGTTGGAGTGAGACTGGAGCTTACCTTACCTATCTACCCACATCTAGCTAGCTATCTGTCTCTGTGTGGTCTCACTGTAAGCTTAGGGTAGACGTTTGAGGAAAATACTGAGAGGCTTTGTGCCTGTTGTGTATGTGCACAGGGACGTCATTTAGGAGGAGAAAGAAGGATATTGTGAGTGGAAGGAAGGTGCAAACAAAGGGCCATTCGGTTTCGGTGTCATCAAGACCTTGCTCGTGGTATGGAACTCATCAGGGAAAGAATTTTCCGGGGTGGAGGACAGATGATAATCATGAGCTATTATTATTGAGACATGGGGTCCTCACAGTTGTCCTGTGTTGCTTATGACACCAAGCCACCGCCAGCGAGGAAGCCTTGAAGGAGATGTCTTGAGTTTATATGAACCAGATGGTATAGTATGATTTTGATTATATGAGCCTTCTAGTATGTCTACAAGCCATGCTTTCCAGGCCAATTTATCTGTGGGATGGAGTTACCAAAGACAACAACTACAGTAACGCAAAACGGACCCTAAATCTAGACATCCCTTTGATGCTGATATCTTTGTAATCCTTGGAAGCTGAGCTACCTCTTTCTAGAAGGTCAGTCTCTTTCAAGGTTATTGCCTCTAACTTCCGTCTGAACCGACTCTATCAGATCCTAAACGGTGAGGAGCTTCCTTACTTTGCTTCAACGCCACCGTTTTCTTCAGGGAGACAAGGAGACAGACATGTGGGCTTTTGTTTCAGAATATGTAAGTCATTCCTGCCTGCTTCCTCACATGAACGTCAAATACTTGTTGTTTCAGACCTTCGTTACCGTCCGGGGAAGAAAGATCAAACGGGGCGTAGCTTGGGTATCTCTAGGGTCCCATTGTTATCTTGAGCTGCATTCATGCCTGTAAGCACGTTCGGGAGCTCCCGAGCGAGCGTTGATAGATGTAGAGGTACTCTTTGTTCATGCAGGTTGTCTTTTCCACAGCGCGGGCTGGGCTTTGAGGTTGGTATGGTAGGTGGGTACTCTTGACATGACAGTCTCATTATGCCAGTCACTCGCTCACTGTCTAGAGGCGGGCGGTTCCCGTAAATCAGGCAGGCATTGGAGCAAGTACATACATAGTCACGTACTCATGCCTGAATGGAACTTCTACACGTGGGAATGGGCCAGATCTGATACAAAGCACGGTGAAAGCATGGACCGAGTGTTCTTTTCTGTGGAGGTTAGGCATTCATGCGTTTACACCAGACGGACACACAAAGAAAGGGCCGCATACAAAACGGTGACTCGGTTGGACAGCCACGTCTGCAGACCCAGGGAAAGGCAGTCTCTTTCTTACCGTTTACAAGCAATGGCATCGTTTGATTGGGAAGTGATTGAGCTCGAGTATTTGAAAGGAATGGTGTTGGTCCCAAGTGAGGTGCTTGCTTGCAGGATCGATCGTCAGGAGAGCCACTTCCCCAGATTGAGTAGGAGCAGTCTAGACTCCCGCCGTCTGGACTGCGGCTCTGTGGATGGGTCTTTCCTTTGCGAAGTGCGCGTAACTTGAGCTCCGACAGGCGTGTCATAAAATGGAGAAAGGAAAGAACGACTGATGCCGATAAAAGCCGAATGTTACTTTTTTTTTCATTCAAAGAAGACACCTGAGCTCTGGCTCCGCAAATGGTGTTGACAATCAAGAAAATGTTGGAGTGTGAGCTTTCAATAGGTTGGACTCTTAGTGAAAACGCTTTGAGATGTTTAATATTTGGATTTGATCCCAACACAACATCTTGGTAGATGAGGACTTGAGCAAGATGTGATCTGTTCCCAGTCTCTACCAAATGACGAGCATCCAGTATGAACTGATAGGCTCACTCATAACTTCTGAGTTGACGGCAATTCCCCCAAATCAGATAACATATCACAATCTAATATGTTTTTCACAGAAATCGAGCCCTAACACCCAGACCATTCCAGCCTACTTTCCAAGCTGACCATCCATCTTTTGATACGGTAATGCATATCAGATTCCAATAGCTAAAAGAAGATTCATCGGAAAACCTCATCAGATACAACGACTGAAAGCTCAGTAACACCAAAAATATACACCCAATTACAACTGCCGGAAGCGAGCGTGTGTTAAGACCGTCGCCTCTTATTGGATAAATTGGGCGTCTCTGCATCACGTCCCGAAAGTAATAGCCGTTTTGATGGTAAATATCATATTAAATAGGTAACGTAAACCGCTTCGTCAGCTCGTGTTGTAAGCCCCGGCCGCCGTATGTGTGTTTTCTTTACGGTGGAGGCATCCATTCATTGAGTGTACCTCTATTTGCTAGACGGCGACGAATATAGCGGATAGCTCGATTCGCCCACATTGTGTTCATCCTCTTTGATAACCCCCTGGGCGACGATACGGAGCGATAAGGGAGTCTTCCCATACCTACTTGAGGTATTCTCCTCAACCCTACGGCCGGGTATCTTCTCTACCTTTCTTTCTGGGATCTCGTGTGTTATGGAGCTACCGCTCGGGCACTGTGGCTCTGGTCTACTGTCACACGGACATTCGACC